GGATGAGACGATGGTGTAGGGGGGAAGGGTTCAGGTTTGTTAGGCACTGGGATACTTTTTGGAACAAGAGGGAGCTGTACAGGCGAGACGGTCTCCACTTGTCCCGAGAAGGAACCAGGCTGCTGGCACTTAAAATCAAAAAGGTGGCAGAGCAGCTTTTAAACTGAATATTGGGGGAAAGCCGACAGGAGATGAAAAGTCTCTGGTTCGGGTTGGCTCATCTGAGAGAGGTGAGGGGGTACCGGTTGCTTTTCTACAGGGAGGTGGATTGAAATTGTCCACAGAGGCCATGGCTGGTGACATGGACTGCCGGACAACGACTCGAGATAGCAAGAGGAAGGATGCAGGCTTAACTTGTAAGGGAAATTACAGCTGTTTCTATACAAATGCTAGAAGTGTCCGAGGTAAAATCGGGGAGTTGGAGTGCTTGGTGTCGGAGGGAAAAATAGACATTGTGGGTATTTCTGAAACTTGGTGGGATGAGGAAAATCAGTGGGACACAGTGATTCCCGGTTATATATTATATCGGAAGGATAGGGGGGGAAGGGTTGGAGGTGGGGTAGCTCTGTATGTCAGAGAGGGTATAAAGTCTAGAAAGATTGAGAGGCTAAGTGAATTGGATTCGCTTCTGGAAGTTCTATGGGTTGAAATAGGGGGGCCAAAAGGAAACTTAACACTGGGAGTTTGTTATCGCCCACCAGATCAAAAGATAGAGGAGGATTATAAAATGATGAATGCCTTAAAGATAGCAACTAGACAAAAACACTGTGTAATAATAGGTGATTTTAACTACCCACACATTGATTGGGTCAATATGTGTTCTAGCCGGGAAAAAGAGATTGAGTTTCTAGACACTCTAAATGACTGTGCTATGGAGCAGATGGTCACGGAACCTACCAGGGGAGAGGCGATCCTTGATTTGGTCCTAAGTAACACTCAAGACCTGGTGAGAGATGTAAAAGTGATTGCACCGCTTGGAAACAGTGATCATAATGTTGTTGAGTTCATCATTTGTACAAATAGAGAATTGGCCAAAAAGACTCACACAACCATTTTTAACTTTAAAAGGGGTAATTTCTCTGATATGAGGGGACACGTGGGGAGGAAACTGAAAGGAAAAGTAGAAAGGGTCAAAACAATTGGGGAAGCTTGGGATCTATTTAAAACTACGATCCTAGAAGCTCAAAAAATATATATTCCGCAGGTTAGGAAAGGCACAAACAGGTATAGGAAAAAGCCTGCATGGTTAACAAACAGAGTAATGGAGGCTGTAAAAAGTAAAAAGAATTCCTTTAAGCAGTGGAAAGCTAGTCACAGTGAGGCTGATAAAACGGAACACAGGCTATGGCAAATAAAATGCAAGTCTGAGGTCAGGCAGGCAAAAAGGGAATATGAGGAGCATATAGCAAAAAACGTAAAAACCAACAATAAAACTTTCTTCAAATACATTAGAAACAGGAAACCAGCCAGGGAGGCAGTGGGGCCCTTGGACGACCAAGGGGTAAAAGGAGTATTGAAGGATGATAGGGAAATGGCTGAGAAGCTAAATGCATTTTTTGCCTCCGTCTTCACTGTGGAAGATGAGAAGTGCTTGCCCACTCCAGAACCACTGATTTCAGGAGGGGTGTTGAAAGACCTGAGTCAGATTGAGGTGACGAGAGAGGAGGTCCTAAAACTGATAGACAACTTAAAAACTGAAAAATCACCAGGCCCAGATGGCATACATCCGAGAGTTCTGAAAGAACTCAAATGTGAACTTGTAGATCTCCTGACAAAGATATGTAATCTTTCCTTAAAATCTGCCTCCATTCCTGAGGATTGGAAGGTAGCTAATGTCACTCCCATCTTTAAAAAGGGTTCCAGAGGAGATCCGGGAAATTACAGGCCAGTCAGTCTGACGTCGATACCGGGTAAATTGGTGGAAACCATTATTAAGGAAAGAATTAGTAGGCACATAGATGAACAAAACCTATTGAGGCAGACTCAGCACGGTTTCTGTAAGGGAAGATCTTGTCTCACTAACCTGTTAGTGTTCTTTGAGGGGGTGAACAAACATGTGGACAAGGGGGATCCAATAGATATTATTTACCTTGACTTCCAGAAAGCTTTTGATAAAGTTCCTCATCAAAGGCTCCTAAGTAAGCTCAAAAATCATGGGATAGAAGGACAAGTCCTTTTATGGATCAAAAACTGGCTAGTTCATAGAAAACAGAGAGTGAGTGTAGGTGGGCAATTTTCTCAGTGGAGGGTGGTAAGCAGTGGGGTACCGCAGGGATCAGTACTTGGTCCACTGCTTTTTAACTTGTTCATTAATGATTTGGAGATGGGAGTAAGCAGTGAAGTGGCTAAATTTGCGGATGATACAAAGTTGTTCAGGGTGGTGAAAACCAGTGAGGATTGTGAGGCACTCCAAGGGGATCTGTCAAGGATGGGCGAGTGGGCGTCAACATGGCAAATGGGGTTCAATGTGGCCAAGTGCAAGGTGATGCACATTGGAGCCAAAAATCCTAAATATAAATACACATTGATGGGGTCTGAACTGGCAGAGACTGAGCAAGAGAGAGATCTTGGAGTTGTAGTGGATAACTCACTGAAAATGTCGAGACAGTGTGTGACTGCAATAAAGAAGGCCAATGCTATGCTGGGGATTATTAGGAAGGGTATTGAAAACAGATCAGCCAATATAATAATGCCCCTATATAAATCAATGGTGAGACCTCATTTGGAATACTGTGTGCAGTTCTGGGCACCACACCTTAAAAAGGATATTATAGCTTTGGAAAAAGTGCAGAAAAGGGCAACTCGAATGATAAAAGGGTTGGAACACTTTCCCTATGAGGAAAGGTTAAAGCGCTTAGGGCTCTTTAGCTTGGAGAAAAGACGACTGAGGGGTGACATGATCGAGGTTTATAAGATTATGCATGGGAAAGAGCAGGTAAAGAAAGAGGTACTTTTCTCCCTTTCTCACAATACAAGAACTCGTGGGCACTCCATGAAACTGCAGAGCGGTCGGGTTAGAACGGATAAAAGGAAGTACTTCTTCACCCAAAGAGTGATTAACACATGGAATTCACTGCCACAGGAAGTGGTGGGTGCTACAAGCATGGACGGCTTCAAAAGGGAATTAGATAAGCATATGGAGCAGAGGTCCATCAGTGGCTATTAGCCACAAGGTATAGCTAGGGGCTCTGGGGCAAGTGATGCTCTGTCTTCTTGGTGCTTGGGGGGGGGGTCAACAGTGGGAGGGCTTCTAATGTCCTGGCCCCACTGCTGGACCTCCTGATGGCACTGGTATTTCTGGCCACTGTGTGACACAGAGTGTTGGACTGAGGCTGTGGAAGGTCAGTAGTTCAGCAGTTTGAGACCCGAGTTGCCACATGACGGAGTGAGCTCCCGTCTCTAGTCCCAGCTCCTGCCAACCTAGCAGTTCGAAAGCAAGAAATTGCAAGTAGAGAAATAGGTACCCCTTCAGTGGGAAGGTAACAGCGTTCCGTGCGCCTTGGTGTTTAGTCATGCTGGCCACATGACCACGGAAACGTCTTCGGACAGCGCTGGCTCTTCGGCTTTGAAACGGAGATGAGCACCGCACCCCTAGAGTCGGACTCGACTGGCTTTCGAGCAAGGGAACCTTTACCTTTATTGTTTCCAATGGGCAATCCTGTCCTTCCTTTTAGTACATCCCATTTTAATGCCAGTCGCTCGCCAAGTAGAATATTTGCTCACGAGACTCCACAGCTTAGAGGGAGCATTGATACCACAGGCCCCACCTGGAGGCTGGCAACAACCCTAGTTGCAAGTTCCTTGGGGCCATAAGGGTGCCGCAGCTAACCTTCCCCAGAGGAAAGGGCTCTTTTATATTTGTTAAGCAATGCAAAATATGCACATATATTATAGGGCTGCCAATTCTGGGTTGCGAAATTCTTGGAGATTGGGGGGGGGGTGTTAGTTCAGCAGAGATGATGCCCTAGAGAGTCCACCCTCATTCTCTCCAGGGGAATCTCCAGGTTCCACCGGGAGGGTGGTAACGCTATTCAAAGCCTTGCACCACCCATTACCCACAACCCCCCACGCTCTGGCCCTCACAAGCCTGAACAACACTTCCCCCAGAATCCTTCACGCGCTGCCTTCTTGTCAGACTGTTCTCCCAGAATCCCTCGCCGCTCAGTGTCCCCCCCCTCATTTCGCTTAATTGCTGGAAGGACCACATGAGGGGCACTCATCTTGACCAATCAACCCGCGTCGGCTGCTCATAGGCGGAGGATTGTCCACTGTGGGCGGGCGGATTATGTTACAATTGCAGGAGTAGCACCCGCCTTCTGAGAATGCTTTAGCCAATATACGAGAAAAAGAATCATCAAGGGGAAACGGCGTTGACAAATGAAAAGCGCAAATTTCTGATTGATGGTTTTCTTACCCAATTATAGCATAATCCGTCCTCGCCTCTGTGGGCGGTTCATTGACGAGATTGGCAGTCTGAACTAATGGACACCTGCTGCAATTTCTGGGTACCTCAGCCAACCAGCCAATGGATTTAAGATCCGCCTCTCTCGCCGTTTCAGCCAATTGGAAAGCCCTGATTGGTGAAGAGCCGAGTGACATTGCCCTTGACCAATGAACAGAAAGAGCTGTGTATGAATAATAGCTCCTTAAGCCAACGAGAATTGGCTGAGGGCGGGTCCTCAGCTTGTCTCGCTCCTCGGGCCGAGCGTCCAAACGGCATCCAATAAAGCGAGGGGGTGAGGCCGGTCGAGCTGTTGAACGGCAGACGAGCCGACCAATAAAACCCTCAAATCGACTGGAAAACGCTGTCCGTATCCAATGAGGGGACCATCGGAAAGGGGCGGACCGCGACCTAATCCCTCACCCAATGGGAAGCGGGGTTCTCTTTGAGCGACGGGCCCTTCCCCCAACGACGCGCCGGGACGGCCGGGGTCGCCTCAGATTGGCAAGGGGCGGAGCCAATGGGAGAACGGAGCCCCGGTCGGGGAGAAGCAGGAAGCGGCCGAGGAGGCGGAGGGCCCCGCAGTCCGAAGAGGGCCTTTGGGGTTGTGGCACCGAGGGACCCGCCGCCCCGCGCCCGCCCTGGACCCGGGGGCGCCGCCGCGAGAGGAGCCGGAGCCACAGGTCAGTGGGAGGGGCCTCCTCGGGACCCGCCCCCCAGGAACCCCCCCGCGCGGGCCGCGGTCATCGATGGGGGAGGGGCCGCGGGGGGGGGGGG